ATGATTGTTCCTTCTTTATTTTTTCACTCAGCTATATACAGTGATAAGCTAGGTAAGATGATGAAGATCATTTATGCCATTCCTAAGAGTCTATTTTTGTAGGGATTAGAGAGGAAGAGACAGAAAGAAAAAAAAGTGGCACTTGCAACATTTGGTTAAATATTATATATGTGGAGTCAGGGTAGCTTCCAAAGGAAAATGTAGGCAATAGAATCACTAGTCTTACTAATCTTTGAAATAAGGAACAGAGAGAAAGAGGGCAGATTTAAGAGAGTAAATGAGGAGTTCAATTTTAGGTACTTGGGAACCATGGAACATTCAGAAGGTGTGTCGAATAGAAAACTGAAGAGAAACATATTTCACTAGGTTAGACTGTGATAAGAAACAAATCCCAACTTTGTTCTTTTTTTTTAATAACAAAAGTCTGTTTCTTGCTTAGTGTTGGGTCCCCCAATAATGGGTCCGTGATTATGAGTGAGACTGATACAAAGAGAAGGTCAAGCAAAGCTTTAGTTTGTGCCAAGCATCAAGAATCAAACCAACTGTCAAACAGACCAGTCAGGGCCACCCCTTACAGAGAGGGCAACCCCTCTCTGTTTCACAGACTAACTTTTATAGAGCAAAGGCCTTGTTGTTGGGCCTGGCCACGCACAGGTGGCCAATGATGTTGTAACACACAGAAAAAACTGCACAGTCATGCTAGGTGACCAATTGAATTACAATTTACTCTAGTAGACATTTGAACCAGCCTATCACCTTGGTCAGAATTGGTGCCTAAAAGGTGCCCAAAGGGCGGGGCCATACTCCTTGGTAGCTAGGAGACAGTATGCACCCCCACTGATTGAATGTCTCCACCTAACCTGACCCACCCTTGTATTTGGACTTTGTTACCTGGGACTGGTTTCCGGGACTTGTTTTCAAGTAAGTTCCCCCGGTGGGGGCAAAGTCAATTTAAGTTTTACAACAAAATGGCAGTTCAACGGGGTGGGGCCGCTCTGGCTGACTAGGCCCTTACAATTAGAATATGTATCAACTGCAGCTCTGTTCCATTTGTTGTCTTCATTCTCTGATCACAGCTGAGATAGCAGCGTTACCCAGAGCCAACCTTGCAACGACTCTTCAAGTTTTTATCAAATGCATCTGATGACACATCAGTTTATATCCTATAAGCTGAAGTAACTCATGGCCAAAGTCAGCATCAGTGGGGTAGAGAAGTGTACTCCCATAGAGGGAGCATTGTGAGTCTTATGGTAAACAAGCCAGGAAATATGGCCCTCTTTCAGGAAAATGAATTAAATAATTTAAGACGATAATACAATTTACCACAAGTACAGAGGTGTCATGGTCTGTAAAAGAGATAAATTTGTGAATCATTAGTGCACAGGTTTGCAGTTGAAGCCATAGGAATAAATTAGAGTGTTTTAGACTTGTGAGAAGAAACATGTCAAGAATAAAACTATTTTCTAATACACCTCCATATATATCATTGCACCATTGATCATAATGTTGCCTCATCCAGAATGCACCATTTTTCACTCTCATATCCAAATTCTGCTTATAATATTGTGGTAGACATTTATATGATTTTTTTTTAACCTCCTCTTAACAATACCCTGACTTGTTTATTGGAGTGTTAGCTCTACCTACTGTACAGTTTTGTTAGGTGGTCAGACCAGCTGTTTGCTTTTTCCACTGTAGAAGCTGAGGGAGCCCCAAAGATTCCTTTGACTCTATCTTTCCTTTTACTGTCCTATATTGTCAAGGGGTAAGTAAGTTGCATAAAATCAGCCAGTTGGGTACTTCTGAATGAGAATTTGACTCCTGAGTAAATGCCCCAAGGACAAGTGAGAGAGGTGTTCATTCAATCCAGCAATGCATTTGTTCTTACAGCGCCAACTTCCTACCCTTCTGCAACAGCTTGGATTGCTGCTCATTTTAAAGTCGGCCCTTCTACTTTTCCAGCAGATCTGTGAGCTCTTCTTCTTCTTCTTCTTTTTTTTTTGATTATTTATTTATTTATTTGACAGACACAGATCACAAGTAGGCAGAGAGGCAGGCAGAGAGAAAGGAAGGGAAGCCGGCTCTCCACTGAGCAGAAAGCCTGATGCGGGCCTCGATCCCAGGACCCTGGGATCATGACCTGAGCCGAAGGCAGAGGCTTTAACCTACTGAGCCACCTAGACGCTCTGTGAGCTCTTCTTCTTAACAATATCCTTATGATAAAGCCTATTTTCCTTAAATCATTTCAAGTTGGTATACTAGTCAGTTCAGGTTTCTATAACCAAATTCCATGGACTGAGTGGCTCAATGACAAAAATTTATTTTCCCACAGTTCTGGGGGCCAAAAGTCCAAGATTAGGGTGCCAGCATGGTCAGGTTCTGGCCAGAGTTCCCTTTGTGACTTGCAGATGGCCACTGTCTTGCTGTGTCCTCACATGGGATGTGGGGAACAGGGGCAGATCTCCCTTCTTAGGAGGCTGGATTCCTATCAGACTCCACACTTATGACTTCATTTAACCTTAATTACTTCCATAGACCCTATGACACAGACACATTAGGGGTTAGACCTGCCAGTGGAGGGTATACCTCCTAAAGGCCAAGATACTAGAATAACAGAGAGTGATACTATATTATTAGGATTAAAAATTACTTATGAATCTAATAAGCAACATGAGTGGGGCTGGTCCCTGGGAGATTGGGCTATTAATAACAAGCTTCTTTTGATCTTACTAGAGTATAGAGTCATTCATCACTTTTTAGATCCCAGGTATAGAAATTGTTTTACTACCTGCCAGTGGCTGGAATTTGCGAGTGTTGGAGGCAATTTAGAGAGAAAGTAAACAGGATAAAAAGGTTCACTTTAGCCTTTTAGGCACTTTAAGATATTAAAGCAGAGCAGACACCGCTATCCCAGATGCACACTGCCGGTTTTTCTGTTTTATATTCTTTTTAGACTTTAACTCTTTGAAGATTAACTTATTCTGCATTTCCAGCGTGAATTCTTTTATGCATCATTAAAAAATTCTTGACAGCTAGAAATTCAAGTTCTAAATGATAGGTGAATGTTTCATTTCTCAGCAAATAGATTTCCCCTATTCCACACCCCTACTCAAACCCTCCACCCAAACTGAAAAGGAAAAAAAAAAAAAAAAAAAAAAAAGTAATAAATTTTGTGGTTTACATTACGTTTCTCTCAAAATAAATATACCTCCATTGAAATTCTATCAATATTCCTGCAAGGAAGGAAAATGAAGTGTTATTGTCACTTGAAAGCAGCAAAAAAAAAAAAAAAAAGGCTTAGAGTTTATCTATGTAGATTTTTGGTGATGTTTCTCTGAATGCTGTTCATAGAGAACTAGCCTCAGAATAACTGGGAGGCTTGCTCAAAATCCATACTCTGACTGCTACCCCCTCTCTACAAGAACAGGCTCTTTCAGAGCAGAGTAAGGCATTCATCCTCAGGGGATATTTGTGTACACTAAAGTTAAGGTATTATATCCTACTTTTGGACAAGAGTTTGAAGAATGAAAACTTCAAGAGGACAAGCAATTTGTCCCATACTCCCAGATGTCTCCAACATCTAGAATATTGGTTGACATTTATCACACATTCAGTAATTACTGGTTGAGTAAAGGAACAGAAAAGATCATGAAGTCATAGGGTTAAAGTAGGACCGACTGGAAATAGGAGGAAGCATTTAAGCATGCTAGAATCCTGGCTCCATTGTTTATTGGTGCTTGACCTTGGACAAATACTTAGCCTCCCTGTTCCTCAAAATTCTCAAGGAGACTATAGTAATAGTACTACTTGCTTAGTTTGTTGTGAAGAATAAATGGATTTAAATATATAGAGGGCTTAGAACAATTCAGATCTAAAACACTTAAAAATTTTGTCATTTAGTAATAACCAGCCCAAGGTCAGCCAGATCTGACCTAGATTTTCTCACTCCTTCAACACGTTTGTATGTATGTACATACATATGACTTGGCAAACATCAGAAGGCCCTGTCTTACCCAAATATTTCCCCACACTCCTTGGTCCTTCATATAGGGGTAGAAATTTCCACCATAGTAGTCATTTTTCTAAAGTAGATATGAAAATAGCATTTTCTAGTAAAACAAAAACATGTTACTAAGGATGGAACCCGCAATATCAAACGAAGCTCCCTTTTTTTCCATTAGCTAGTTTCCCCCATTAACCCCAGCCAAAGGTTAGTGTGTCAGTGTGCTCGCCAATGAACAGATTCCAAAATTCTGCCCAAAGATGCAGTTTTTATTTTTTTTTATTTTTTTCCAGAATTTGAGAGACATACTTTTTTAACTGCTAGGGTAAAGACAAAGGGAGTGGAGGAGTGAAGGGTACTTAAAAAAAATAAATAAATAAAAATAAAATGATGTAGGGGCGCCTGGGTGGCTCAGTGGGTTAAGCATCTGCTTCTGGCTCAGGTCATGATCTCAGGGTCCTGGGATGCAGCCCCTCATCAGACTCTCTGCTCAGCGGGAAGCCTGCTCCCCACCCCTACCCCGCCCCATTCATGGTCTGTTGCTCTGCCTACTTGTGATCTCTGTCAAATAAAGTCTTAAAAAAATAATAATAATAAACGACAGAATTTTAAATCCTGGAGACGTTCATTTAGCTATTTGGTTTTTTGTTTCCGTTTGATCCAAAGCACTAAATCCCTTCCTGGAGTAAACATTGATTATTACCCCTATGAAGACAGGAGCGTCCACGGTCCCACAGGTCCTGGCATCCCGAAGGAAGAACAAAACAAACCAAAAGCCATTTTCTCAAAAAGTCGGCTCCCTAGATCTACACTCGCTAATCTTGGCTGCATGGTGGGGATGGATTTGGACTGGACATGAAATGTTTTTACAAGAATTTGATTAAATCAGATAATAAAACAAAACCAGAACACTTCCTTGTTCCTCCACCTGGGAGGCGCGTCCTGGGAAAAGAAGAGCCCACGGAGTCGCGGGCATTTCAGGGGGCGCTGTGCGAGGATGTCTTCTGCGCCTCTGCCCCGAGAAGAACAGACGGTGGAAACTAAACCAGAGCTAAGGCTCAAGAGGGCACAGAATGAGCCATACCACAGCCGCAGAGCTGGGGGCGAGAGTGAGAAGGAAAAAGAGGAGCGACTGCGCGAAGGTCAGACTCTTTTGTCTTTAAAAGGCGAGCAAGGCCCGGACGGACCAGACTGGGCGGTGCAGGAGGCGGGGTCTGCACGGAGCGGGCGGGGCGTGCCTTTAAAAAAAAAAAAAAAAAAAAAAAAAAAAAAAAAAAAAGCCCTGCCGGACCGGGGCCTGAGGAGCTCAGGGGGAGTTTGCTCCGTGAACCGCTTAAAGGATCCACGAATGAATGAGCCTCCTGTCCTGTTGGGGGTCTCTGGGCCCCCCGGGACTGCGAATCTCGAGGACGCTCCGGGCATCCTGGGGCGTGCCGGGTCCTCTTCGCGCAAGCTGGGGCGCGGGGCGGCCCTGGCTCCCGGTGGTCGGAATCCCGCGGTGGCGGGGGCCGCAGCGGAGGCGAGGGCGAGCGGAAGCCCAGGGGGGGCACCGGACAACCGCCCGGCGGCTGAGAACCTGGACTGTGAGCCCTGGGTCAGAGAGAAAGTGCTCTTCCTTCTGCACCCGGAGAGGTGGTTGGGGACTCAACGGGACCCTGCGCGGGAAGAAGTGGCCGGTGGGGACGATCTTTTCCCGGCGGCCGGAGACGACTGGGAACCCGACTGCCCGTCTCTCTTTCCGCGAGAAAAGCGAGTTTTGGGCAGCCGTGTAGACGCTCCCTTCAGAGCTCGGCCGCGGGACCCTGCAGCCCCACCCAGGTCGGTGCTCGTGCGGATTGTGGACTATCAGGCGACAGAAGAAGTCCTGTGGACCGCATGGAGGAAGGGGCAGATGACCGCACGGACCGAGGAGCACTCCATGAGCGCGATCACTTTTCGCACCATCAGGGAGTGAAGCGCCGGGCTGTGGGCGCCAGGACTCCGGAGAACCCCGGGCTCGCCCGCGTGGGGAGAGACGCCCCGAGTCACCTGCGGGGAGATCACCTCGCGGTCCCCAGGGACTGGATTGCCAGAGGCTATAAAACAGGAAAGAGGAGCCTGAGGAATGCTGCGGGCTGGTGGATGAGCGATAATCCCTAAGCAGATGCTCTTCCGGGAACGCCAGCCTGTAATTAACTGACAGCGAGGACGTTTTCAGAGGCTGGTCAGCGCCGCTGGGAGGCAGGTGACACCCCAGACAGAATGAAGAACTGTGAGCAACATAGTACCTCCTTTGTGTCTTAAATACTGTGAGGGTCTGGGGACCTAAGTCATTGGAAGAGGGGAAGGAAAGGTATTTTCAAATTGGTAAAATGTGGGCCTGTTGAAATAAGAAAATCTATTTATGGCTAATTCTCACTTTGCAATACAGCTTCACTGATCTCTTTCCCTGCCTCCCCGCTCTTTCGGACCTAAATTAGAAGTGAGGGTTGAGGTCTGCTCTCTGCAAAGAGAGTGGGAGGAGATGGGGAGAGATGCTTGTTTTAAAGCTGAGAAAGACAGTAAAAGGGAATGGGAAAATCAAAATAGAGCAGCAAGTAAACAAAATCTGTATTTTTTTTCTGATGTGCACATTTTTTCTTTTTTCTTTTTTTCATTAAATGTTAGGGGGAAGGAAAAATAGGAAAAGAAGAGGGGGAGAACAGAAGACCCAACTTTGAATGTTAAGTGCCATTTAAAGGGGGTTTACTACCCCCAAAGTATCTAGTCGAGTAAAAATGATTTTTATCTGTTTTTTATTTATTTTTACTATTTTAAATTTGTCAAATCAGTCTTATCTGAAGGTAGATAATGTATAGTTTTCCCTAAAATAATTGTATATCTTATTCCTGTCCATAGTTTCTTACTAATAACATTTGTATTCAAAACTGGATTGAAAATACATCCCTCTTGATGCTGTTAGGGGAAAAAAAGTCTCTTCTGGCGCTACTGAAATGTCTTTTTATTTGTTCCTCTTTTTTATTAAACACCATTTTTATTACCTCTGTAGTACTGTGGTCTGGTTTGGAGATCTGTGAAGAGCAAGCATTCCCTCTAGAGATGAACTCCTGACTTGAGCAGGCTGAAGGAGTATTTGGTTACTGCAAGAACTAACAAAATAAGTGGGACGCTGGCTTTTGAAGAGTCAGCTGTTGAACTGTACCCCCTACCTCACTCATCGCTCTGTGCTCTTTACTTTCAGTTTTGAAATGCCCTCAAAATATGTATCCCTGTTTTACAGTGAGCCGACCTAGGTGTAGAAGTCATGTGGTTTAGGTAAGTCACAACGTAGTAATTGCATAGGCTTACTAAGTAGGTAAGAATATGATCTTCTCCCTTCTAAAGGTTTGAGAATGGCCTTCAGGGGAACTTACCTGGAAGGAGTCAAAAGAAGACAGGGCATCCTGGGTTTTCTAATTCATGTTTATGGGAAGTGCTAGAAATACCTTAATGCTCATGAGTCCCACCAGAACTTTTGACTGGAGGATCACCATAGCAGTTCTTAGGACTATGAGACCCACACTTGAGGGAGGAATGCAGCACCTGACCTCATCTGTGTTCAAAACTACTTGGTTGTAGAAAAGGTGATATAGGCCCCATAAAGTGAATTATCTTTTCCTGCAACAACTTTTGCCTGGCCCTTGTGTGAGGTTAAACTTCTTGGCAGACAGTTTTCAGGCCTGACTTGATAAATTTGGTTGTGAGTCATTATATGCCCCCAGGTGACTGAGCATTGAATATGCAGTCAGTAAGAAAAGCCTCCTTAACATGGACCCACACATCATTGGTTGCCTTCTCTCTGGAGGCTAACCCGGAAGTTCAGCTTCTTGGGTTCAAAACTGTCCCACTTCTTACTGTGACTTTGGGCAAGTGCTTAATCTCTGTGTTCCTCTGCATCCTTATTCATTAAGTAGGGATAATATATAGTATTAACCTCATAAGGTTTTTTCCCTAAGATTACGGTAAATGAAAAATACATAAAATAATACTTCGCATATAATGAATGCTCAAAGTTAGCTGTTACTAGTTCAGTGTTGTAATTGTTTAATTCACTTTCATCCCAAGTAGGCATTAGTCTTTTATTTAATTAAAAAAAAAAAAAACAAAACACCCAAAGGCATACAACACAAGAAATTCTGTACAACCCAAACTGGTGATTTTTTTGACTCTTTTGTGGATTCCTAAAAGAAAAAAACTTCTCTCTAGCTTTTCCCAGCATTTAATGGATCAGTAAATATATCCTTAAATCTCTTAGAAATGACCTCCACGTCTTGTGATATTTATCATATGATTCAAAGGCCTAAGGTATACATTGCTTGACAGGGTCTTTGAGGAGGTTTCAAGTCTGCTTAGCTCCCCGTGGGCAGTAGGAGTTTTAAATACTTTCTTTAGGTGTCAGGTTTGTTCTCCCTCTGGGATTTTAAATCTGATGTCCTGTTGTCTCAGAAAAACAATACACAGAGTTTTCATTTTATCTGCCAAAAATGTATTTGTTCAAGTCAGCTTAACTCTTTTTTTTTTTTCCATCTTAACTCTTAGTCCAAATATATTTAGGTTAATTTTATCTTAAGTAAAAATCATTATTATTATTATTTATTAAAGGTTTTACTTATTTATTTGTCAGAGAGAAGGTGCAGAAGCAGAGGGAGCAGCAGGCAGAGGGAGAAGCAGCTTCCCCACTGAGCAAGAAGCAGGATGTGGGGATGTGGGCTCAGTCTCTGGACTTTGGGATCATGGTCTGAGCTGGAGGCAGACGCTTAAAGGACTAAGCCAACCAGGTGTCCCTAAAAGTTATTTTTAAAACACTCCCCAAGCTCCTTGTTAACTGCCTGTAACGCACTGAACAGATTTCCTTCAAACCGATGTCTCCCTGGTAGGAAGTAATATGTTGAAGCCCTGTTGAATTTGCTTCACAGGTTTTCTTGATCCAAGGAGAACCTGGTTGTGTGAGGAGGCTGAGGATTCGTTCCTCCTTCACAGTGTCCTGAGAGTGAATCCAAAGTGATACCCGAGTGTTCCCAATATGAATAAATCTCTGAGAATGTTGGGTCTTTGCTCTTTGGTCTTACCTCCGCTTTGTGGAAAAATATGACCATCTAAAACTGCCTTAGGTGGATGAATCATAGCAAGGACTTCCAGAAGCCACGTGGCCACTCAAGGGACCATAAGGTAAATATCACACAACTGCCATTAGGCAAGTGTTGACCTCTCTGAAGACCTTTGTCCACAACCTCCACCGCCTTTGAGATTCATTACATTTGACTTGCTGTTCTTATTCTTATTAATACCTAATGTGCTTTTTTGCCTATGAAAAAGGAGAAGGATGAATCCTCCTGTTGAAAGAAAAAGTTGTATTCACTGCAGAAAAGTTTGAGGTAATATTTTGCTAGGAAGAAAGACAATTGGGAGTAAAAGAAAAATTCACTCTTGCCCCCAAATCTCTTAATATTTGGTATGTTTCCCATCTTGTTTTATGTATTTTACTCTATTTTAATGTGTATTTTATTCTATTTTTTATGTGTGTATATATACATTTTCTTGGCATAAGCTATATATAAAATCTGAGTATTATAAACTAAGGTATATGGATACTATTCAGGGGGAACCAGGAGCATGAAAATCTCTAAGAATTTTTTTTTTTAGAAATGCAGAATCTCAGACCCCAGCCCAGATCTACTGAATCAGAATTTTCATTCTGACAAGATCTCTGGGTGTTCTCATTAAAGTTTGAGAAGCATTGATATATATATATATGCTATATTTAGTTCTGTATCCTACTTTGTCACTTACAATTAACTAGAAAGTTTTCATTTCCTCCCTGTTCCCCATTCATTAACAATC